CTCGTTAGTTCATAAAAAGAGCTTGGGAGCTCACGACGAACTCATTAGTCCATAATAAGAGCCTTAGAGCTCACGATGAACTCGTTAGTTCATAAAAAGAGTCATAGAGTNCCTCAATTCATAAAATTTGTAAAACTTGACGGTAGAGTACCAATATATTTTTTTTGATACCGCCCTATTATTTTTGGCTAAGAATAGGAAAATGGTCTATTTTTTTTTTGGGTATCATAAAATTTTAAAAATATGACACACACACACACACACACACACACATNTAGTCCGTAATAAGAGCCTTAGAGCTCACGATGAACTCATTAGTTCATAAAAAGAGCTTTGAAGCTCACGTTGAATTTATCAGTCCGTAAAAATAGCTCAGTAGCTCAAGATGAGTTCTTTTGTCCCTAAAGCAAATGCAGCAGCTCAGAATGCGCTTCTCGATCCAGAAGAACTAAAAGCAAGACCTGTAGCACGTAGACTAGAAGGAAAGCTTCACAGCTTTATCCATTACAAAAAGAAAAAATTGGGGTCTTTGGTCCACAAGCCAGGAAACGATATGGAAGATCAGCTGCCAGATTCTCAAAGCCACAAATTGTGTATAAGAAGCGACAAACATGAAAAGGGAAAATCAAAGTTTCAAGAACATCAAAGATTACAAAAAAAAAATCAATCAAAGCAAAATTTNGTGGGAGTAACGTCCGTTTCAGGATCTGTGGGCTTTGGTCCAAATCTGGCGGTGAGAGAGATAGAAAGAGATGCCTTTCCGTTGGACAGTAGTTGCCTAGTTGGCTTAGTTGAAATACTTGGCTTGAGGTCGCGGCTATACTTGGCTTGAGGTGACAAGACCCTCTTTGCTTATATCTGATAGAAAATATAAAAAATTAATTATTATTTACCTATAATCAATTAGAATGAATATTGTAATATTCAAACTCTTGACATCGAGAAATATATATTTTTTTAAACATTAATTTGGGTTTTCTAGCAAACCCAGTTGTAATATTTTCAACCAATTTAAGTTTAAATTAAAATTAAAATAAAGTGAGTATTATGCTAATTTTTATTTTCTTTCAACAGAAAAATACAACATTTTGAGTGAGATATAATTGTATCATCATTAATTTTATGGCTTTTGAAATATATGTTTACTTAGAATTAAATTNCCATCCTTCTTGCGTTTCTTGATATAAGTCCCAACATCCTTGCTCTCATCATACCTGGTAGAAGAGAGATCAGATTCAAGAAAAAAATGAAAGTCCCGTTAAGCTGCAGCGGCGCTAAACAAGAACAGATTATCTGGCGTCATGAGATTGGGAAAAGACATGGACTCAGCTTGGGCCATTTGTTAGCAGGTTCAAGTCAGGAGCACCTACATGCAAAAAAAAAATTCCCGTGCAAACTTCGAAGTCACTGATTGGGAAACCATTCTGCTACATTTTAAGCTCAGCTCTTGCCCAGGCCAGCCTGACCAAGAGCTGGGGGACAATTGATGATACTTAGAGCAATTACCAAGTATGAGCTCGGGAGTGGAGGTCAGATGCACAGAGCTCATAAAATTAGAGTAAAGTCCAGCCCAATCGAAATAACAGCGAAAACAATAAAGAGATAACTATTTGTCAACAGAAACCCTAGATGGCGAAGCATAAAAACTTTCATCTAGGAAAGATCTCCTTCTAAGATCAAGGAGGATTCCTCGAATAGATGACGAAGATCTCGAGGCGGATCCCGCAGAATTAGGAAAAATCCTATAAATACTATGTAACGCCCCCAATAGAAGGGCAGAACTCTAATATCACATCTTACATNTCGATTATTTTATATATAAATTAGTTAAGTCTTTTAGGCTCATTTTTTAAATGAGTCGAAAAAATTGTTCAAGATTGACTTGTTTGAAATACGAGTCGAGTAGTATTCGAGTCGAACCTTAATAACTTATCTCATTNTGAGTTTTGCAAATTTGAGTTAAGTTTATTGAGCTCATTTTTTTAAAATAAGCTTAAAAACTTGTTCAAGTTCGAATTATTTAAAAAAACGAACAGAGTCCGAACCAAAAATGAGCCGAGCCCTAACAATTCGATTATTTTATATATAAATTAGTTAAGTCTTTTAGGCTCATTTTTTAAATGAGTCAAAAAAATTGTTTAAGATCGACTTGTTTGAAATACGAGTCGCGTAGTATTCGAGCCGAATCTTAATAACTTATCTCATCNTTTTGGTATAGTAAAGAGTGAAGGAAGGAGCAAGAATCTCCATTGAAGAGTGGATTAACCGAGCTCCCGAACTTGTGAAACACTATATTTCCACTGTTTTAATTCCTCAATTCCCCAACAATTCTCAGTATCATTTCCTCGAATTTAGTAACTCAGATCCCAATAATTGCAATATTATTTCTTTCATTTACTCGTCATCACAAAATTGTATCACGTTGAAATACACCATCATACGACATAAATTTGTAACTTTAATTATGCAAAATAATCTTGTTAATTAGATAAATAATCTTGTTAATTAGAGAAAAAATCATGTTCTTGCCCCCAATTTTTTTTTTTTTTTGGTAAACGTCAACACCATTAGATCTTCATATATTCTCTCTGTCATTTTTGTGCAAGGATCACCTATATATTCTATCAAAATTAAAGGTGGTCCAACGCTTTGTTTTTTGACCGACAATATTATAGATTGTTCAACATCCGAATATTCTTGAAAAAATCAATCTTAGCCTAGATTGCTTGATGTTGGAGAAGTCTATGGTATCAAATTTTGTTAATGTACTACAAGTTTAATGACATTTGAGAATTGTTTATAATTTTTTTAGTTTAAGTAATAATTTTTGTAAATCATTTATAACTTTTGAAAGTTATTTGTGGTTGATACTAAAAATTTTGCGATCAATTGCAAATAACTTCAAAAAGTGTAAATAACCCACAAAAATTGTAACTTTAAAAAATAAAAATTGTAACTTTTTTCTTTGGTGATAAATAAATTTAAAAAATTGTACCTCAATTCATAAAATTTGTAAAACTTGACGGTAGAGTACCAATAAATTTTTTTTGATACCGCCCTATTATTTTTGGCTAAGAATAGGAAAATGGTCTATTTTTTTTTTGGGTATCATAAAATTTTAAAAATATGACACACACACACACACACACACACACATATATATATATATCTTATTTTTATTTTCTATAAATCAAACAAATATCTGTGATATTGAATTATGTTTTGGTACCACGACCTTATCAGGATGAAAAAAAAAAAAAACAGATCAGGACAAGACCATAGAGATATGAACCTTAAAGTGTGTTTAATATACACCATTGGTTTAGTTGAGGGTCATAAATGACCACGTAAAGTAGATCAAGGCCGTCCATTTCTCATTGATGAGCACGGGATTGCACGTGGGATGATTAATGATTGACGGGGTGGGAGTAACGTCCGTTTCAGGATCTGTGGGCTTTGGTCCAAATCTGGCGGTGAGAGAGATAGAAAGAGATGCCTTTCCGTTGGACAGTAGTTGCCTAGTTGGCTTAGTTGAAATACTTGGCTTGAGGTCGCGGCTATACTTGGCTTGAGGTGACAAGACCCTCTTTGCTTATATCTGATAGAAAATATAAAAAATTAATTATTATTTACCTATAATCAATTAGAATGAATATTGTAATATTCAAACTCTTGACATCGAGAAATATATATTTTTTTAAACATTAATTTGGGTTTTCTAGCAAACCCAGTTGTAATATTTTCAACCAATTTAAGTTTAAATTTAAATTAAAATAAAGTGAGTATTATGCTAATTTTTATTTTCTTTCAACAGAAAAATACAACATTTTGAGTGAGATATAATTGTATCATCATTAATTTTATGGCTTTTGAAATATATGTTTACTTAGAATTAAATTCTCTCTAATTTATTTTTTTTTGAATTTTACTTAATTATAAATCACTTATCACAAAAAAAACCAGAGGATTGATTAATAGATAATAAATTCTGTTTAAATTGATAGTAGGTAATATATAAATTGATTAAAATTATAATAAACAGATTAAAAGAAATCTCACTCTTGTTTAACCTAATAAATATTTGTCAATTGAAAATAGAGTTGATAATCGAATTGAGTTTTGCAAATTTGAGTTAAGTTTATTGAGCTCATTTTTTTAAAATAAGCTTAAAAACTTGTTCAAGTTCGAATTATTTAAAAAAACGAACAGAGTCCGAACCAAAAATGAGCCGAGCCCTAACAATTCGATTATTTTATATATAAATTAGTTAAGTCTTTTAGGCTCATTTTTTAAATGAGTCGAAAAAATTGTTCAAGATTGACTTGTTTGAAATACGAGTCGAGTAGTATTCGAGTCGAACCTTAATAACTTATCTCATTTATTAGTCATAATTGACAAATACTATTTAAAACTTATTGTTAATTAATTACTTGGTATACTGTCAAGTTAAGAGCGTATACCTTGACGCAATAGTTAATTTGCCACGTTATGACTTAGATACTAATCGTTTGAGTCGTGAAAATAATTTTTATGCGGGATTAAAATGCATACATATAAAGTTGAAAAATAACAAAGAAAAAAACAGAGAGGAGAATTTGGTCAAATCAAGCAAGCTATTTTTGTTCGACTCAGTGAACAACCAGCTTAAAAATTAAGCCCAGCCTTGAAACAGCCAAATCTCATCTTTGACTTTGACTGAAACCCTCCGACAAACACACATCCCAATCGTGCACTCCACACTCCCATTATATATACNTTTTTTTTTTTTTTTGGTAAACGTCAACACCATTAGATCTTCATATATTCTCTCTGTCATTTTTGTGCNGACTTTGACTGAAACCCTCCGACAAACACACATCCCAATCGTGCACTCCACACTCCCATTATATATACCTTCCCCACATATCACCCTTCTGCGTTCACACAAATCCCCTCTCTCTCTCTCCGTCTCTCTCATTCTCGTAGAAAATTGCAGCANAAAACTCAGGTTTTGTTGGGGAATGGGTGTTTGACTTCTCTTATCTCTGGATGTACGTAGATCAATTTTGACCTTAGGATAGAAGGAGCTTTAGGCACTCTAGCTTTGGGCACTCCCAAGGAAAAGAAGAAGAAATTTCTAACCAGTTGGCCACCCTATCAGAAGGTTATAAAGGAGGCTAAGACTGCTACCGTAATCAAGATAATATACACAGTTTGGAATGGGCTACTTGGATGCTAGCCTTGAGGCTATGGCACTGCACCCTGATCTTGACTGCTCTACTATTAAGTTGAATGATGAAGAAACTCCCCTTGGGCAAGTTCCAAGTGAGGAATGGAGTTCTACTGGTGATCAAGGTGCCCTAGTCNAACTCGCACATACCCATCTCCTTTCTTTGCTTATGGCGGACACCCAGATGAAAAACTCAGGCAACCGGAGACAGTCAAGCCGGTTACAGAGAAGAGCACCGGCGTCGATACAGATAAACCGGACATCCGATTGGAACGTGGCGATACCTCTATTATCACCGTTGATCACGTCTCCGTCGGCGGAGGAGTCGAATAAGTTAACGGCTGAGATCAAACGGGGTAATAGTAATCAGAACACGGAGCCGGAGAAGGAGAAGGCCGTGGTGTTCAAGAAGTGGCAGCACCCTGCGGCGCCGTTCTGTTACGAGCCGGGGACGTTATTGCCGTTTGTTTGTACTGGTGGATCTGATAGGTCTCTTTGTAGTTGATTAGTGATTTAGAGTTACTATCTAACGGTGTAATTTGATTCTTTTAATTTTGTGTTTTTGGCTTTTGTTTTCCCTTGGAGGGAGGAGTTTGTGTAGGCATGGTGTGGTTATAGTCCATTTTACCCCCTTCCCAATGGGATATTTTTGTGCACAATAGTCCAATATTTACAAAGTTTATAGAATACTCCGTTTTTAAATATCTCTCCGGTTTTTAAAGTTTTTGTACAAAAATTAAAGAAGGTATTAAATAACTCTAATACGAGGAAAAAATAATTATACAAGATTAAAGTATATTTATTTAATACGTATTGGGAATGAAAAGAATATGAAAGACACTTAGTCTCTATCTCTACCTAATCTAATGTATTAAAAAATTAAAGGTAAATTTTTTTAAAAAATATTAATTATGTTTTAATTTTATTAAACGCTAGATATTATGGAACAAAAAAAATTGTGTAAAACGATAAGTATTTAAAAACAAAAGGAGCAACACATTAACACATCTCATGATATTTTTTTTTCCCTTTATTATTCTTTTTGTCACCGATAGATTAATTGTCAATTTTAATATTAGATGAAATTTATTTCTCCCCCCTAAATTCAATACCAATTGGCCTTACCAATGTCATTGTGTAACTGAAAAATTGGGAAAAGATATCATGCAAGTTGAAACTCCTTCATAGTTACCCCATATTATTATGTTCTTCATTTTGTTTAAGGTAAATTTACTTTGATTCTCTATCAATCAATAATGTAGGGCTTTTAACATTATTAAAACTAGATCATTTGAGCTTTAGACACAATATAATACTCTTTCAATCACTTTGTTAAATATATGAATATTTTATCAATATAGAACATGTCGTTAGTTTGAGAATTTCAACAACCTAGTTGTATGTAAACACAACATAGAAGTTTAGTGAAGTTAGGTGGAAAATAAAAGAGAAACTTAGTGGAGCATATAAAGAGAAACTTGATGGAGTATAGAATTACTAAGCTTGATTAGACATTCAATGATTCAAAATAAGTATAAGCATGTAACAAAAATCACGTGACCAGTATGGTGATTATTCGGAACGTATGTAAATTAGAACAGACTAAACTGTGTCATAAGTTAGCCTTAGAGCAGACACCACGTGTTCAAAAATGATTCAACATTCAATCATTGTTCGATCAGATAGGTCGATAGACAACTAATCAAAAATTCAATTCAGAAAATAGGAGTGGGCAAAATTTAACTTGGATTAGCCTTAACAACGAGGATTACGTCATTTTGAAGAATCAGATGCAATGCTATATTGATAAGAGCATTCCCCAAATCACGGATGAATATTGTTAATATGCTTGAATAAATAGCTGAATCAGGAATGTTGGAAGGCATCGCTAGTAATTTGGCTAAATATGAGGTGTGCTACCTCATATGGCTAATGACGGAAATCCAAACAGAAAAGGTATCAAATAATGCTATAAATAGAGAGTTAAGCTTACAAATTAAGGTACATGCTACTACTTTTCCTGCAACTAATTTTGGATACACTTTCAAAACTTTTACTGATTTAACTATCAAAGTGTCTACTACCCCCCCCCCCCCCCCCCCCCCCCCC